ATAATACACGAAATCATGAACATGGCATACTATCTATGCAGTTAAACAAGATTGGAGCATTTCATAAAATATGAAAGGATTCTTAAATCTTTAAGGTATGCAACACTTGACATTTAAGGAATGAAATCACGGATGAAGCATAAAATCTATGCAATGGACAAGGATGGGATATTCCATAAAACACGAACAGGAAAATACATGAAATCAAGAACAGGGCATAATATCTATGCAGTTAAACAAGATTGGTGCAATTCACATAACACGACAAAGACAAGATGTGAAATCAACCAATGTGGAAACTCGGATATCGCCCGGATTAAAACCGTACTCTTGAGATCACTTTAGGGCTACTAACTCATGGGTACCTTTCCCCTAGTGCGCACTATATTGTAAGAGGACATTCTCCCGTATTATAACGGAGTCCTAGCCATGTCAATTCTTGATTGATATCTTCAAGTCCCAAAATCAACAAGTTGTGCAAACCAAGATAGTATCAAAATACAAGAAATGCATTAACCACGTTTCATGCACAACCAAGATTTTGGAACACACAAGTCATGCCCTAAGTTCATCAACTGTAATGGCATGTGAAATGTCAAAAAATCATAGTATGCATTTATATAGATTATAACCAAGATATATAGCGCATAGAGTTCATTAAAGTAAATATACCACAAGTATAAGATACATGATTCAAGTAATTACTAAGCAACATATGAGTAATTAAATCATTTCAAGACAAAGGCGCATGTTCATTAAGTACATTAATGAAACCTAGATACAAGAGGTCACGATGCTTGATAAAAGATAACAGTTCATGAAATTCAAGTCAAGTTCACTAGCTTAACAAGAATTCATATCAAGGCATGATTAACTCGATGGAAGCATATAAAGGAAATTTAATCTACTTAAGAGATTAAATTATCAAGATTACAGGTAAGTTCAAGGGTTCTACAAACAAGACATGTCAAGGACCATGTGAAGAACAAGTCTAATATCGAGTTGCAAGTTCATTTCATTCAAAACACAACCATGTGAATTTAGTTCCATACAAAGGAAATAAATACTAGAAAATATTACGAGTATTAAACTTTAATACTAGAAAACACAACTATGTGAATTTAGTTCATTTCATGACACAAGTGAATTCCATGTAAGAGAAGATTACGAGTATTAAACTTTAATACTAGAAAATAAATAAATAAAAGGTTTCAAAACCTAATCAAATATTCTAAATTTAATATATGTGAAACTATATAGCATGCATATCAAGAATGTCAAGTCAAAATTCCAATGGGGTGAGTAGTACACCCGGAGCAAATTAATTAATCAATTTAATTAATAATTACTAGATTTCAAAACATCTCCGATTAAGCTCAAATTAATCTATGTTGAAGAGCATACTAGGGCCTAATTTAATATGATAACACACATTGATTTCAAACTAATTAATCTTTCACTTAAGATAAATATTAAATAAAAACTTTAATACTTATTCAAATGTTCCAATTTTAATACACGACAATGAACATATCAATGGACAATATAATATCATGCTACATGTTTAAACCAAGTCATGAGCAACCAGGAAAATCAGATCCCGTACAAGAAAAATAAATAATAAAATCTCAAGATTTCATATTTAAGCATGTAATCAAGTTGTATAAGTATCAATATTATGCTATATAACAAGAATTAAACCTATAACACCCCCTACCTCGATTTGAGATGAAAACCTCAAAGGCCTACCGAAATAAAAGTGCTCCGAATTCGACGATACCGAGAGGTTTTGTCGGGGACAACACCGGGAACAAGAATCCGCAAGAAGCCCCATGAAAATCTCAACTTGACTCCAAACCTGAACTCGAAAAATCGTCGAAAATGGATTCTAATGAGGGCATAAGGTAGAACACGTTGAGGGGAACAATAAATGTTAAGGCCGAATGATTTCTACCAAGGAAAAGTGGACCAAAAGAAGAGAGAGAATGTGGCAGCCATGGCTGCCATGGATTCCGGCTAGAAGAGAGGAGAGAGAGAGAGAAATTTTTGACTTTTTCTCTTAAGGCCTCCTATTTATAGAAAATCTCAAAAAGTGCCCCGAAAGGGCCCCGTCGGGTTTGGAAAAGTGGATTTTGAGCAAACGCGCTCAAACGGCAAAACTCCGTGAACAAAAAAGATTCTAAATGAGAAAATATGAATAACGGAAGAAACGGCGTCAAAAACTGAGTCCCGAGCAAAGCGATATGACCTGAACAAATTCGGCGCTGACCAGGTCCAGAAACTCCGAAACTGGAGAAAAATGACCAGAACGGAATTCTGTGAGTACACGACTTGACGAAATGTGAAAATGAATCCCGTACAAGGATCTAGGCTCCAGACAAGATATTTTGCAACAACTTTCCTGAATTGCATAATGGCCCCTACAAAAATGGTTAACTGCAAAACTGCCCTTGAAAGAAAATATCTTTTGGAAGATATTTTCTTAGATACCCCTAAAATAAAATATCTTCAAAAGATATTTACGAAAAACACCCCAAGAAAAGAAAATAATTCCAAAGAATTGTGCATCCATAACCCTATGGACACCGGGAGCAACCAGAGTACTTTATTGAAAAAGTGAATATACGTATTTCGTGGAAACCACGCAAGATCAAGATATGTGAAGTCAAAAACTAACTCCGAGCATGAAAAGTGAGGTTATGCCAAAAACTGACAAATGGGGAAAAGACAGAGTAGGGAAAAGGATGAAATAGTGCATATTATCGAAAAACGAAAAATGTAGAAATGACTCGGTCCTCAAAGGAAGTTGTCAATCCATGGAAAAGAGTCTCGGAAATCATTTCTAAGCACTCGAGATGACACTAAGCGATAAGAAACAGAGTTCAGAAAGGAAAATTAAACGGAAAAAATTTATCCATAAAATTTAAGGAAAAAGAAAAGGAAGGGAAATTTCCGGGTCATTACAGGAATCCTACGTAGATGACTGGAAGAGTGATGATAACTAGTCTCTGCTCTATACGAATAATATCTACACCTGATACTGATATGGACCTGAAAAATAAATAGTGGGTTAGGCCCACAAACAAGTTCTTTCTATTATATCCCACAAAGACCTAATGAATCAATACATCCTAGTTAACTCATGCAATAACTACATAGTCAATATACATATTGATACACACTAAAGACTCTCACTGTACTATAGGGCAGACTCATCTTGATATTAGGAATCATGCAAAACCTAGTCATGAGTACCCTCATCTACGAGGGAATACTTACATCATTTATATCCAGCTACGCATCCCAAGGGCAATATAGCTTTTCTACCCATCGATCCTAAGAACTCATGTTCATGTCATGGTACATATATATATATATCCATATCCAATAAATAATAAAATCCAATCATTCATTTAGGGGAAAAAAAAAAAATTCATATTCGTCATCCATAACGTGAGAATAGCATGACAAGTAATGAGTTTAAATTCATTAGCCAACTCACCTTTAATATACAACCATATCCTGGCAATGTTGTATAAATCCAAAACCATATCATGACAATGGTTCCCACACAATCTAACAAATAATATATAAAGATCAAATATATATAAAATTACAACATACTGTAATAACGTGATTATAGTCATTTAAATCATCTATTGCAATTGTTATAATAATTAAAACAATATAAACATCAAATAAACAACTTATAATTCAATATATTATTCATAAATCATATTATGATTTACATAATTTATAATGTGATCAATATCATTTATCAAAATATTCAATAATAACATTGATATAATAAATATCATCTATCAACAAGAATGAATAATTACGCTTAATAGCGTTTGTTATACTACACCATATACTCCGACTACGATTATTATATTTTAATACCATACCCAGTATATTTTCAGTATGATTAATATTATTTATTAAACATACACCAAATATTTAACTCATCATTTAAAATTTATCGAGTTTTAGTACGACGAATGCAATTCCGAAAATAAGCTTAAAAATAAAGTATCTCTAAAAATTCTGAAAAAAATAAAATAAGAAACATAATCAATAAAAAATAACCAAATTTTAAATATGAGAACAATCGAATTTCGTTTCAGCCTCTAACAAAAATCACAAAATACTGCGATACCTTCTAATAATTAAAAAACACAATTTCAGAACCCTAAACGATGGTTTTAAGCCTTAAATTGACATGACCCACAAGTTGAAGCTAGTGAGTTTTTCTTAATCGATTGTTTCTACCAAAAAAACACTATTATATAGTCAAAAACGGAATTATCGAAGTGTTATTTAGAATTCTATCCAGACAAACAGAATTCTGTCTTAGTTCGTCTGAAGATTATTTTCTAATAATTGTACAATATAGTTTAATAATTTAATTACAGCAATTAGGCATGTAGTGATTAAGTTATAACAACAATTTATGCATCAAATTATAAAATCATACAAAACATGCAAACATATTTTTAAACATATAAAATATCTGTTTTAATTATATTATAGATATATTATTTCATTTAATTAGATTAAATTAGTTTCTTGAAATTTAATTATTTTAAATTAAATATCTGCAACAAATTTCATTTTGGTCCGAAAGAGTGAAAACATTTCCCGGGCAAAATGTTTTTTGTAGCGCCACTTTGAATAACATTGAGCTTCCCTCTCTCTCTCTCTCTCTCTCTCTCATGACCGCTCTCTCTCGTGACAGCTGCCTCTTATATTCTTTTAGATAATCACAGAATATCTAATACCGAGAAATTGTACCTAAAAAATAATTAAGTTAGAAACTATTCACCTGAGATATTACTTGGGCCTGACACAATGTTAGAATTGATATATATATATATATATATATATAATTAAATTATACTTTAGTAGTTACACGATTATTTTTTTGAATTAAATATTTCTACCAGATTTAATTTTACCGCCCAATAAAATATTTATCGCTTCTAGGATGAATCATTCAGCTTCCCCCCTATCTCACACTCACCATCCTCTGTCTCTGTCACCCCTCCTATATATCGTTTCCGTTCCAACAAAGACCCAATCAACAGTCTCCCAGTCAATGTCGCCGGCAACTATGTACATATCCTCTCTGTTCATACAAAGACAATAAAAAACGTGTTCTTCAATAGTGTCTCTTTGAAACAAAGATCCAATCAATACTTAATAAAGGGGGATTCAAAGACGATTTTTGGTTTGTTTTTGAAGCAATTTAAAGCCCAATCAACTTCCATCAACCAATTTGAGTATTCATTACAGGTTGGTATCCTTAATATTTCTGTAATTTTTTGAATTTTTGCCTAATTAGGGTTTCTTATTTATGTTTTTGTGAGGCGATGTTAGGTCAAGTAATTTTTGAATTTCTGCCTAATTAGGGTTTCTTATTTGTGTTTTTGTGAGGCAATGTTAGGTCAAGTTATAATGTTCTCTTTCAAATTGACAAAGAAAAAGGTCCGTCTTAAAGACCGTATCTAATGCAGAAAGTTCACCCAGGGTTGTGCAAGTAAGAAAGTAGAACAGGCAAGAACCCTCAATCCCTAATTTTTTTTTTTCACGATTTTAATCCCTAATTTTTTTTTTTTTTTCACTATTTTAATCCCTAAATTGAGAGCTCTTATTCTCACCAATCTATTGGCCATCAAATAGTTCTAATCAGTATTTGTTATACTGGTATCTTAATAATGCCAAATTGTTGCTTTGAGCCGAACAAGCACAATTAAAGCATGCTATCTTATATTATTATTATCATTTATTTATTATTTTTGTTATTTTTTTTTTCACCGTAAAGTAATTTATCTTTAATCATTAGAAATGAGTTTATTGTTCTTTTGAGTAACAAATTTACTTTTTACTTTTTCAGTATGAATGCATGGCATTGGCCAATTTCATTTGCTACCTAAAATGTTAATTATAATTATCATTAAATGTTACACCATAATAATCTGATTTCTTTCTGCTAAGATTTCCTGTTTACCCCCGAACTAGAAGCATGATGGACAAAAATCTCTTTTGGTGGGTATATTTAGAACATGGTTAGAGTTCTGAAATTGAAGCAAACAACGGTTCTCGAGTTAAAATTCAGGCTACTGCAGGACCAGTTCTGGGTCCTCCTTGGCGGCGCCCTGAAAATGGGTACAGTTTTGTGCGACAATTTGACAATGTAACACTATTTTTTCCCCCCCGTCTCCTTCGGTTCCTAACAAATAGTTATTTCCCTTTATCAAATACGTGCTCCAGGTATCTTGTTGTTTCTCCGCAAGGCCAGTTGACACTTTATTATGAACCACATTGTGTTTATAACAAGAACTTTCTGGAGAAGGAACGAGCCGACATTGTAATTACGCCTGTTATAAAACAGCTTCTGCCAAGTTTTACATTGGTTTCTGGACAAGAAGATGCAGTTCAACTTGCAAACATGCTCCATGCCAGGTATAGTACTTTTTCCTTGATGTCAGAAGCTATGTCAATATATTTTATGGAATTGATATTTAAATGATTAACTTTCTTCCCCTATATTGTAGGTTTATTGTGCCCATGAAAAATGGAGAGCTTGATAGTAAAGGGCTTCTTGCAAGTTTAATTCAGTCTGAAGGAACAATTGAATCATTCAAGGTTTGATTTCTGTTATCAGGAAAAATAGTTCAGGTTAGATTTCTTTTAATTGAAGTATAGGAGTACTATGTGAACATCAATGCAGTATAAATATCATATTTCCTTTAATCTATCTAAAGCGTACAATGTGATGAGGTATGTTGAGCCACCTTATTATAAAATAAATAAATAAATAATTCTTACACAGTATGAAGGAATTCATATAATAAGTTTTGGTGAACTTTAGAATGTGTCATTACAAAAGTATTGCATTTTTCTTGTGTTTAAGACATTATGGTAGTGAATGCTTTCTAGAATCTCTTCCCTATATTTCTTCATCTTCCATAACAAATAAAAAGAAGTTAAAACTTTAAATTTAATATTTTGCACATGCGGGACTTCTTTTTTAAGGATAGCCTTGGTATAAGCCCATCAATTACAATTTATGACTTGAATACGGAAATTACAATGGGAATGTATAGTATAACATGACAGTTTATAGATAAGCTTGATGCAAAAGAAATAATTAGGAAGAAAAAATAATAATTTCTAGGCTGAAACTTTGCCCTCTAGCTCTTGGGTGGGAAAGAAAATTTCTAAAGCTGAAATAGTGTCGGTGACAGAATCAGATGCCATGTTAGAAAATGGTAAACAAAATCTTATTCCTTCTGATGCAGTCCATAAGAAGCTTAAGAAAAAACAAATTCTAAAAGGAAGTAAGTATGGAAAGTTGCTCTATCTAGTGGACAAGGTTTTGAATGTTCCACTTCCTAGATTCAGTGTAAGGAAAAATATTGTTGGCTGGTAACTAGTAATGCGCCAATCTCATTATTAATTTACTACTTAGAAATAACAAGAATATACATAAGTTCACCCTTCTCGAATTGGTACTAACTACTAAACTAGTCCCTATAGAAGAAGATAACTTAATCGGCTTTTATTAAGGAATCAGTTGTCTGCAAAGAGCTAAGTAACGGGGTTTGACCATTCTAAGAATGTGACACTTGTGGGTAAAAAAAAAAAAAAAAAAAAAAAAAACCACTAGATTTTTCTTTGAAGTCCCAAGCTGTTCAAGTTCTTTCATTGAATAATTCTTGTCCATGCCCAGATCAAATTCTATAATAATTGGCTAGTAATTGTTTAAGTCATTAGGAAGAGTGAAGATCATTGTGCAGGGGTTAAGTGTTGCTGTTGGTTTGAAAGGTTAATGCCCTATACTAATGGGTTTGGATTCGGTGCATGTGTGTGTACATGAGCTTAGTGTGAGTGTGCTTGTCTTCTTATTATTATTTTCTTTCCTTTTGTTTATTTTCGTTTTAGTCTGTTATAAAAAAAAAAAAAAAAAAAGAACCACGAAATTTTTCTTTGAAGTCCCAAGCTGTTCAAGTTCTTTCATTGAATAATTCTCGTCCATGCCCAAATCAAATTCTATAATAATTGGCTAGTGATTGTTTAGGTCATTAGGAAGAGTGAAGATCATTGTGCAGGGGTTAAGTGTTGTTGTTGGTTGGAAAGGTGAATGCCTTATACTAATGGGTTTGGATTCGGTGCATGTAACGACCCTCACCCTGGCCAGACACAATATTGTCCGCTTTTGGCTCACCCAGACCAGAGACTTCCCAGGGGGTCACATATCCTGGTACTACTCCAAGTTAAGCACGCTTAACTACAGAGTTCTGATGGGTTCACGGTCATCACGGCTTTAAAACGCGTTGTGTCATAGAAGGGTGTTGAATCTACATATAGCACTTGCCCTATCCACACCCAGACGATATGGGATTGTGCACCTGCAGCTTGCCTAGTGTGGTAGCCTACTGGTGTCCCCTGCACACGCTCACACACACCCGCTCACAAGGTCGCCACAGTGCATGTGTGTGTACATGAGCTTAGTGTCTGTTGATGATAGTTCATGAGTAGGATGAGGAGATCGTTCCACGTAAGCTAAGAGATTTGAGATCAGTATCCAAGTGGAGATCCAAGCAACACAAGGGATTATCTAAGTATGAAGATTAAAAAAGGGAAGGCCGACCTCGGTACCGCGCAACCTCGAGCTTATCAGGGGATAAGTGTTAATATGGTGGTTGTGTGTTTTTAAGGCTGATTAACACCCCTATTTATAGTGTTTTCCTCCTCGGTCAATATCTTTTGGTCCTTCAGCTGAGCCCGCTCTTGTCCACAGGCTTAATGGTCTTTTCCTCTGATGGATGAGACACAGATGGATGGGTAGCGGCGCTTTGCCCCCCGGTCAAAGGAGGTAACGGCGCTTCCTGATTAATGCGGGTCTTATCAAATGTCTTTCGCAATTAATGCATTGCTTATCCTTTATCGCTCGAGCTTAGATACCGAGTATCTTTTCCCCCTTGTGCTGGTCCTGGATTGAGGCAACCCCTTAGATCTCAGCCACCTATCCACATGTCCTCAGATTCCTGTGCTTCAGTGGGGTTAAGTCCCTTTTCGAGGTCCTGCCTTCATGACCTTGCAGGTTCCCATCCCGGTTCTACCCCGAGGTCTTCTTCGCCAAGAAGTTCCGCGTGTACACAGGTTAGTCGAGGTTGCTCTTTCAGAGAGCACCCTCAAGCGAGCCAGGGGGGAGGAGCCTATCCGACTGGAGCGAGACGCGTCCACAGTAGAGGAAGGGTAGCGACCCCTCCCTTGAGCAGTGAGTTCCGTCATTGGATAGGTACTTCGAGAATACCTAATCCACCGCGGGCACGCCAGGTCAGCACTGGCCAGTTGTGCCTATGTTGCCGAGGTGGCGCCACTTAGTCAGCTATCGTGGCGCGGTCATCAACATTTTGCCCCCCTGCTCGAGGTCGCCAAGGGGAAGCTCGAGCAAATTATAAATTTGGTTCAGGTTTACCGTCATTATTGTTGGTACTAAAGAGTCGCATCTTTTCAGTCTCGAGGAGTCATATTACCTTGAGGAGTCATATCACTTTGGCTTCCTAGGCCACGTGTCGCTTTTTTACCGGTGCGTCGAGTTGCGACGCTTCGAATGCCGAGCCTCTGTCTTTTCGTTTGTCAGAGGCGCGACGTTTGGGGTGTCGATCCCTACTATTTAAGCCTACACTTGTTTTTTCCTTATGAAATCATGCAAATCAAGTCCGACTTCTTAGAAATCTCACCCTCCCCCACTTTTACTCGAGGTAGGATAACATTGATGGCTTTACGCGACGATGTCCCTAACGTCCCTTCCATGGCTGAGTGGCGAGTTGCTCCTTATTTTGGCCCGAACGATACTTTTTGGGCGAACAACGATGAGCTTAGCGAGGTGGATGAGACCCCAGCGGGCACATTCCTTTTTGAGGGCGAGCCTTATGCACATGCAGGAATACCTATCCTTCCTAGTTCGGTACTGCGATTCAGAGTTGAACGCGGTGACTTTCCCCATTCTAGTCTCGCTTTTACCGGTCAGACCGGTCACGGCAGAGGCTGGGATCTATGGACGGATGCCATGTTATCTGATGCCGAGTTTCTTGAGACTTTGAAGGCTTCAAGGATTGCAGACGCGGTCCGCAACACCCGCGAGCTAACCATTCCCCGAGACGTGCATGATCTCGCCCTTCTCGTATCTCGGTGGAGTCGTGATACCCACACTTTTGTTACCTCATGGGGCGAGTTTACCCCCACAATAGAGGATGTAGTACAACTCATGTGTTTGAATGTGTTTGGTGAGCACAACCCTGGCTCCTGGGTGCTTTCTGAAGACGAGGTCAAACTCGTTACCAAGCTTCGTAGTGGTGTCACCGCGGCCGGGAAGATCGCTTCGCGCTATCAAGATGACGGCCTTCGCGAGGAGTTTCCCGAGACCGGAAAGAAATGCACTTTCGTGTCGCTCCTCCGTTACTATTTTCGGGACTTTCCTCTTCAGGACCAAGAAGGAGAGGCTTCCTTCAATGGTCCTAAATGCAAAGACTCAGCTTGCCTCGCCGCTTTTCTTTTATCTTGGCTGTCGAGGTTCATTTTTCCAGGTCCTCCTGATGATGGACCGTGTCCGGATCTCATTCCTTTGGCTGTTTGGCTATCTTGCGGCAACAGCTTTCCTTTAGCCGCGTTATTTCTCGGCACGCTCTATCATGAGCTCGACTTGGCGCATGCCCGGATGGAACGCTCTGTTGGGCGTATGAGCGTGGTTTCTCCTGTCAACACAATCTTCCTTTAAATGTTCTTATATGAGCATTTTCCCCGTTATGGCCCTCGCCCGACAGCACTTCCTCGGGACAAAGGTTTGAAGCGATCTTTTCAATGGCATAAGCATTCCACAAAAAAGAAATTGGCGGAGTATATTGACAAGGAGAGTTGCTTTCTAGCTCGTCCCTATACTAACGGACCGCGGGTGGAGTGTTGTGCCTCAAAGGATGGCATGGTTATTTCAGGCAAGTCTCTGAGACGTACCCCAGCCTTGACAATGATTGCTCTGTATATTGCGGTTACCTTCCTGCCCTCCTTCCACCCAACTCGGGTGTGGGTAAAGTTTACAATCCCCACAGGGTGGCTCGACAGTTTGGATTGGATCAAAGGCTTGCTCGAGACTATGGATATGGTGCGCGCCAAGACCATAGTACCTATGCCTTGGGATTTCTACGCTTCATTAATTCTGAGGAGACCGAGCTCTTGAAAGATCGCCAGATTCTTTATGTTCCCTCGACCTCGCGAGTGGGACGATGGGAAGCGCAAACGAGAGCATACTGGAAGGAAGTGATTAATTCTTTTAAGCAATTTGTGGTTAGCACTCCAGTTCCTGTCCCTGCTCGTTCTTTGTTGAAAAGTGATGCCTCGTTTCGTCCTTTAAAAAACACGTCGATAGCGGCTCGCGGGAAGATTTGCAGTACCTCGGGTTTGCTTCCCTTGGTTTCATCCAGTGCCGAAGCGCCCGTGATAGCTCTCCGAGCTGCAAAGACTCGTCGAGATAACCACAAAGTCGATCGGGACGTTAGTACTTTTGTCCCCGCGGCCACTTCTTCCAAGAAACCTAAGGTTAGTGCAAGTTATTGTTTTCGCAATTTCCATCATTTCTTCATACTTAAACCATTCCTTGTTTATTTCCAGAACACCTCAAAGGATCCCCCCCGTTCACAGTTCTATTGCTCTCGCGGATGCTTCTCTTCCATCTACTCGAGCGGGGGTGGCTTCGAGCACAAGATCCTACTCTGTGTTACTTAAGAAGACCTCTATTGTAGGTGCCACAGTTCATGTTTCAACGACTTGTACTGGCTTGGCAGTTCCTTCTGATCCACTTCACACTCTTGTAAGCGTCCTTGAAGACCCCGAACAAGCAGCAAGAGAGATTCTGGCATCGGACTTAAACCCCCCTGTACCTTCCCGTCGCGGGATGGGGAAAGAGCTGATCCCCTTGGCTCGAGGCTTAGGTCATCTCAACGAGGAGACGGGAGAAGTCAATACCGAGGTGGACCCTGCCATGGGGACCTTTAACTTTGAGAGAAGCCTATCTTACTCGCCTTCAAACGCAGGTAAAATTTTTGTTTTTTTGAAAGACGCCTTTGTCTTTATGATGTTACAGACGTCGAAGCGACTGCCTCAGATGTAGCCGAGGCAGTTAATGGTTCTGAGGGTCGACGTTCTGGTCAACGAGGTGAGGACAGCGACACTAGCTCGCAGGTTGAGATTGTTCATGTACTACCGCGAGAGCCCATTGTCGAGCTGCGGGAGATGGTTGAGTCAGCCATCCAATCCCTTCCCTTGAAGAGGATAGCTTAAACGAGACGGGGAGCTCGTCTTTTAACGACTCTTCCAAAGACGAGGCCTCGGGCTCACATGGTCCAGAGCAAAATGATCCAAGTGTTGATCAAGTCGAGGCCATGGCTTTGTCCGAACCAGGGTGGGACGCGCATGCGGCCAGTGAAAGACGCCGTTCCCTCAAAGGTGACGAGGAGAGGGAAGACACCGAACAAAGTCCTAGAAGGCCAGATTAAGGAGATCGCGTTACTTTATGCATTTCATGGGGTGGTACCGCTGTCCAGAGGGAAGAGGTAAAGATCCTAGAAGAGGTAAAGGCCAAGTATCTGTAAACTTTTGGAAATCTTGAGGGGATGCTGCCTTTATTCCTGGAGTTTGTATACAAAACCACGTGCGAGCTCGTGGTAAGTCTTCGAGGGGCCAGGGATCGTACCCTAGGCAGAAAAGAGCTCGACTCCCTAGATCGTCTTCTTGTAAATCTGAAAAGAGCACAAATTGACGTGACTTGGGCCGAGGAAATCTTCGCGCGAATCAAGGCCTTTGGGAAGCGTGAGAAAATGGTGGAGGAAATTAAGGATCTTCGTGATCAGGTCCTTGAGGAAGAAGGTATCTTTGAAAATGAGAGGATACGTTTGGTCGAACTGCAACAACAAGTGAATCTGAGGGAACAGCATATCACCTCTTTGAAGAACGAGATCGAGCGCAAGTCGGCACAACTCGGCCCTGCCCTTTTAGCTCTAGGCGATCTACCTTAACGATGTATTGCTGAGAACAGTTTATGTATAAGAAATGAATCAGTTATTTGAGAATGCTTTTTTTTTTTTTTTTTTTTAATGGAACAGTTCTTTTTTTTTTTAAGTGCTATTCATTTTCGTGTTGTCCATTTTTCCGTATAGTAGTTGTTACAAATGCCAAAAGAATATATATATGATATGGTGATTATGAAAGGCCTTTTTCAGGGGTAAAAGGTTAGAGGCGCATACCAACACCAATTCAGAGTTTCATTACTCATGCTTTTATGACCTTTACCAGAGATGAGGTCAATCCAGGAATTATATTCAAAGGGAAATACTGACATTAGACACTGATAGGGAAACACAGGTCCCTCGGGCCTTTAATATAGTAGCTTGAAATTCAAAAACTTAATACAGTCATAGGGTCTCGAGTAAGGCTTATAGGTTAAGACTAAAATTTTTTTAACCACTTGGCATTAAATGTGCCCAATATCTTGTTGCTTCCCACTTTTCCGTTGTCATAGTATTCGCTGGGGCTAGCAGCCTTGACTTTGAAGGGGCCTTCCCATTTTGGAGTAAATTTTGGGGCAGCCAAGTTTTGCATTACATGCATTGCGGACTTCAGAACCAAATCACCTTCTTGAAATGCTCGAGGTCGGACAGTGGTGTTGTAGGCCCGAGCCACCCTTCTCTGATACACCACCATCTTATCCTTTGCTTGCCTCCTCCGCTCCTGAAGTCCCTTGAGCTCGCCAATCCGTTGATCGAACTACAGTTGGCTTCGCTCGGCTAGACTTCTAGATGGGATTGCTATCTCAATTAGGAGCACGGCTTTTGTCTCGAATACTAAAGAAAAGGGTGAAGCGCCCGTAGCGCCCCTTGTGGTGGTACGATAAGCCCAAAAGGCGAGCGGTAACTGCTCAGCCCACTTGTTGTGCTGTTCCTTCAGCGTTCTGCTCAAAATTCGAATCAACGTTTTATTAGTGGCTTCGGCTTGTCCGTTCCCCTTCGGATAATAAGGTGTTGATTTTCGATGGGCCACCTGATATCTTTGAAGAAGTGCACGGACTCTGCTCTTGACAAAAGGGGTTCCATTATTCGATACAATAACCCGAGGTATGCCAAAATGGCATATAATATTCTCTTTGATGAAGTTTGCCACCACCTAGCCAGTTGCTGTTAACAAGGCAGTTGCCTCGACCCATTTAGTGTAAACCTCCGTTGCTACTAGTATCCACTTCATCTTTTTGGACTTGGGAGAGATTGGGCCTATCAGATCCATGGCCCAAGTGTGGAATGGCCAAGGAGCCTCTGTGGGATGTAACTCCACAGCTGGTGCGTGGATAGCATGGTTGTGAACTTGGCATTCCCGGCATTTTCGGGCATAATCTTTACTATCAGTTTGCATTGTAGGCCAGTAATAACCCAACTGTATGATGCGATTGTACAATTTTTTCCAGCCCTGGTGTTTGTACTCGTGTGTTTGCTTCAAGACTTCACGGGCCTCGGTTAGACTAACACATCGCTTAGCATTACCGTCAAAGCCTTGCCTCATTAACTCACCGTTACAGATAAAGAATTGCCCGACATCCTTCCTAAGCAGCGCGGCCTCCTCAGGATCCTGTGGGAGCGATCGCTTTTCAAGATACTCCATATACTTCAGCCTCCAGTCCTCCTCAATATTGGCCACACATTGGGCTTCCTCGAGTTGGTTTTGGCACTTTGGACATGCCTTTTGAACAACCGCTGCATCTTTTGCCATTGTCGATCAGTAGTATCCCTGCCTTTGTATTTTTCGATACAGGCTCAGTGAGTTGTCGCCACACGTGTGCTTATGAACCTCGTTCAAAACTCGACTGGCCTCCTGTTTCCCGATGCATCTCGCCAAGGTTCCACCGGGTGCTATAAAATACAACACTCCGAGGTACAGAGTGTAATTTTTGAGCACTTGCAAGGGAATTTCTTCTGCATTGCCTTTCAATTGGGCTTCATACGGGCTTCGCCAGTCCTCCTGACTTCTTCGTTCAACAAATTCTTCATCATGCAAGCAGGATTCCTCTCTTTTTTGGATTCGAATATCCACCGATTTCCCTGCAATTTCAGCTTTAGATCCCAAGGTTGCCAGGGCATCCGGGTGTGGATTAGCTGTCCAAGGTGCATAAGTTATGCAGAGCTTGTCAAAATTACTGTTAAGTTTTTGAATGATTGTTCTGTACGCCGCCAACGCCAGTTCCTTGATGGCATAGGATCCATCCAACTGCTTCACCACCAAATTTGAGTCACCCTGGACACGCAACCGCTTGATCTTAGCTTCCCGTGCTGCCAATAAGCCTAATACCAGGGCTTCATATTCTGCCGTATTGTTGGAGCATCCGAAAGTGAGTTTAAATGATAAATTTTGGACTTTCCCTTGCTCGGGTGTTAGCACTACTCCCGCGTCGCCCCCTGTGGAGGTTGACGATCCGTCAAACGACAGGGTCCACATCATGCTTTGATCCGCGCAACAGGCCGACCCGAACTCGTCATGGGGCAAGTCATCGTGCACTGGCTCGAAGTTTCCAGAAGGGAATTGGGCTATCAAGTCTGCCATAGCCTGACTGAAGATGGCGCGGGGTGCGAAGCACTGGATATCGAACTCGGCCAACATTAGAAGCCAGCGCGCCACTCTTCCCGCGATAATGGGTCGCGAGAGCAGGTACCTTAAAGGATCACATTTGGTGATGAGGTGAATGGTATGAGCCAAAAAGTAATGGCGAAACTTTTTGGCCGCAAATGCTAAAGATAGACAGTGGCGTTCTATCGGAGAATAGCGCGCTTCAGCTCCTTGAATGATTCGGCTTATGTAACACACAGAGCATTCCCGGCCATCCTTCTCCTGGGCGAGAAGCGCTCCTATGGAGCGTTTAGTCGACGTGATGTAAAGTCTGAGGGGGACCCCGATCTGGGGAGCTATCATAGTAGCGGTTGATGCTAACAACTTTTTGAGTTGGTCAAAAGCCTGTTGATGATCCTCATTCCACCTAAACTCGGAGCCTCCTTTCATCAAGGTGCCAAAAGCGTGCGTTACCTCTGTAAGCGTTGGTATGAAGCGTCGTAGGTACGAGACCCGCCCTACCAAACTCTTTAGTTGTTTGAGGGACTGCGGCGGTGGCATCTCCATGATGGCCTGAGCCTTACTCTCCTCAATATCCACACCTTGCCGATGGACCAGAAATCCTAGGAATCAGCCGACTTCGACACCAAAGGCGCATTTCAACGGGTTCATTCTCAACTTGTACTTTCGACACCTCTCGAAAACGCTTCTCAAGTCAGCTAAATGATCAGCCCGAGCTTGCGATTTTACCACCAGATCATCCACATAATCTTCTAATTGCCTATGCAACATGTCATGGAAAACAGCTGTCATGGCTCGTTGATAGGTAGCCCCGGCGTTCTTTAGGTCAAAGGGCATAACAGTGAAGTAGAAATTCCCCATGGGGGTACGAAATGCCGTTTTTTCCGCATCACACGGTGCCATTCTGATCTGATTGTACCCGTTATATCCATCCATGAAAGAGAACATTTCGTGCCCTGAGGTGGAGTCTACCAAGCTATCAATCATAGGGAGCGGGAAATCATCTTTAGGGCATGCCTTGTTCAAATCTCTGAAATTAACACAAATCCTGATCTTTCCATTTTTTTTTCTTTACTGGGACCACATTTGCCAGCCACGTAGGATGCTCAATCGGTTTGATAAAGCCGGCTCGTAAAAGCCGCTGTACCTCCTCTGTTATTTGTAACTCGAGCTCTGGTCGGAAACTCCTTTGCGCTTGCTTGATTGGGCATGCGTCTGGTCGCACATTAAGATGATGAGCCACTACCCGAGGGTCCAATCCTGGCATTTCTTCGTACGTCCAGGCAAAGACATCTTCAAACTCCTTGGCTATTAATGCCAGCTTTTCATTTTGTTCCAACTGCTTGCTTACATAGACCCTCCGGTGACAACCGTCAGCGGCAAGATTGACCTCCTCCAGCTCTCCCTGGGTAAGTCGGACAGACTCGGCTTCCATTTTGATCTCGTCTTTATGACAAGGAGACTCCGCGTGACATGTCTCCACACGGGGGCGCGGCCTCGCCCGAGATCGTGCCCCCCAACACCGTCATAAGCGGTAGGCGATCCTCCCATCGGCCAAACGTACTCTCTTGCAAACGGCCGGCCCCTTCTGACTGGTATTGGCTCCTGGCATCTTTTCACTTCCTTGTCGGTCGATGGCCTCCCACTTCGGCAGAGAGAAGGCCTTCAACGGTTGGGGTTCTTCCGCCTCCTCTAGTTCATTAAAGAATGCAGCCTCCACCATATGAGATTCCCTGCTGGTGAACGGCCGATCAGAGCAGCGGACCGTTACTTGCTTCCCGTTCCAGAACCCTTTCATACACTGGTGGTACGAAGATGGAACAATTCCAAACTTATGCATCCAACCGCGACCCATAAGTAAGTGATAAGAAGTGTCTGAGTCAATGACATGGAACTTAACTGGGCCTTTGAATTTTCCAATAACCAAATCGGTTGTCACATATCCCTCAGTTCTCCGAATATCACTCCCAAATCCGGCAATTTCAGTCGACTTCCGGATAAGCTTCTCACTCGGTAATCCAGAGCGACGGAAGATTTCCAACGGCATGATGTTGAGGGATGAACCATTGTCAAGAAATGCCCGCTTGAGTTCAACCCCATTAAGAGAGGCCGTAACATACAACTGCCTGTTGTGCGGTGTAGGAACACATTTGTCTTCTTCAGTAAAGACTATGGCCAAACCGGTCGATCTCTGAGGTACTGGGAGCGATGTGATCGACGCGACCTCCTTTACACTTTCCTTTGCTGCCAACAACAGGAATGTAGCAATTTCTTTCTGAGCAAGAGGACAGAAATCCATCTTCTGAAGGATATTTTTTACTGAAGCGGTTTCCAGCAATCGGAATGCATCGAGATCGTTTGCCCTTACCAGTGCGACCTGGGCGACACTGTCCCCATGCTGATTGTAGTCATTGCTGGTGGGGGAAGCATCCTCCTCGACTCGCTCTCCATCATTTGCTACGCCGGAGACCATCATTGCAACCCCTCGGTCATGTGCAGGAAACGGTTCCTCCCTCACATCCCTGGGAGGTAGAATGAGTTCACCGTTAGCAATCCGTCTATGGAAAGTATTTCGCAAGGCCCAACAATCGTAGGTAGGGTGGCGAGTGTGCCGATGATACATGCAGTATTTAGGGTGAGTCATTTCTTCTACAGTAGGCTCACGAAGAACCTCAGGCAGTCTGATATCTCCATGTTGGATCCACTTCTTAAGAATGGTTTCCACTTCTTCCGGAGTGCATGGGCATGGAGGAGGTGCTTCGTCCGGATTCTTTGTACGAGGGGCGCGGGCTGGCCTCGCATTCCTTTTGCTGTTTGGCTTATCTGCGGCCGAAACCTGGGGTCTACGTCTGCCTCGGTACTCTTCTTGTGTAGCGCCCTGTGCACAGATAGCGAGGTTACTTGCCAAATTCCAAGATGCCTCTATTAAATCAGCAAAGGTGGGTAACTTTAAGTTAATGAGATGGATTCGGTAGGATCCCTGCATGCCCTGTATGCATATCTTGGCCAGTGCCTCTTCTTCGTGGGTTTCGTAACATTCCATGGCTCGATCATGAAATCTATGGACATACGTAAGCAGGTCCTCACCGGGTCCTTGAATCTCTTTGGTCAAAGAGAGAGTAGTCACCCTTTCTTCCGCCTGAAAGAACTTTGATTGGAAAATCGTGGCTAATTGGTTCCAGGTAGTGAGCGACCCAGACTCTAAATTTGCATACCATTTGTAGGCCCTATCTGTGAGAGTTTTTGAGAACTCTCTAAGTCGCAGTGTGTGATCGTTTCCAAAGGGCCCCAAAGCTTCAATAAACCGGACCAAATGCTCTCGCGGATTCCCTTTTCTCCCATCAAATTTGCTAAACTTAGGGGTCAGATACCCTGGGGGATAAGGGAGAAATGCAATGGATTACGCATAGGGTGGTTCGGGAGCCGCTTCCTGCATTAGCATGTTTTTTTCATTTCGTAGTAGTACTTGCAGATCCGCCATAGTTACATATGGTGACTGCTGCACGAGATTTTGTTGACATCCGAGCTCCTCTGATCCCCTATTCTCGCGCCGTGCCTCTCTTCGACTGGTGCTCGGCATACTCAACCTTGCAGGTGACGTGAGGGGAGTGCTGAAAAGAGTTAGACGGGCCCGAGGCGGCGCGTCTCGCGACCGTGTACATCGGCCAGCGGCTCGTCTTACTTTAGCTGATGATGAGAGCGAATGTCGTGTCAAGTTTTCTAGGGTCACGTGTTCCCAAGCAAACTCGTCGGAAGGGACGCTGCTTGGGCCTAAATCTCGTCGAGGTACCCCTCTATCAACAATCTCCCGCAACAACGTCACCACTTCTCTTTGCGTGCCCTCTAACTGCTCCATTCTATGAGATAAAGCATTGTGAGCTTCGACCAGGGCATCATGATAGATAATCCTGGTCCCAGGAAAATACGACCCAGGCATACTCACAGATTCGTTATAGCCCTCATCTAAAGCAGGGCTAGTTTGAGAAGGTGGACTGATCTCCCGTATGCTTGACATATGCGAAGCGTTCCTCCCCAGTGAAGTCGCCAAAATGTTGATGATAGTTCGTGAGTAGGATGAGGAGATCGTTCCACGTAAGTCAAGAGATCTGAGATCAGTATCCAAGTGGAGATCCAAGCAACACAAGGGATTATCTAAGTATGAAGATTAAGAAAGGGAAGGCCGACCTCGGTACCGCGCAACCTCGAGCTTATCAGAGGATAAGTGTTAATGTGGTGGTTGTGTGTTTTTAAGGCTGATTAACATCCTTATTTATAGTGTTTTCTTCCTCGGTCAATATCTTTTGGTCCTTCAGCTGAGCCCGCTCTTGTCCACAGGTTTAATGGTCTCTTCCTCTGATGGATGAGACACTGATGGATGGGTAGCGGCGCTTTGCCCCCCGGTCAAAGGAGGTAACGGCGCTCCCTAATTAATGCGGGTCTTATCAAATGTCTTTCGCAATTAATGCATTGCTTATCCTTTATCGCTCGAGCTTAGACACCGAGTATTCTTTCCCCCTTGTGCTGGCCCCGGATTGAGGCGACCCCTTAGATCTCAGCCACCTATCCACATGTCTTCAGATTCCCGTGCTTTAGTGGGGATAAGCCCCTTTTCGAGGTCCTGCCTTCATGACCTCGCAGGTTCCCATCCCGGTTCTACCCCGAGGTCTTCTTCGCCAAGAAGTTCCGCGTGTACACAGGTTAGTCGAGGTTGCTCTTTCAGAGAGCACCCTCGAGCGAGCCAGGGGGGAGGAGCTCATCCGACTGGAGCGGGGCGCGTCCACAGTAGAGGAAGGGTAGCGACCCCTCCCTTGACCAGTGAGTTCCGTCGTTGGATAGGTACTTCGAGAATACCTAATCCACCGCGGGCACGCCAGGTCAGCACTTGCCAGTTGTGCTTATGTTGCCAAGGTGGCGCCACTTAGTCAGCTATCGTGGCGCGGTTATCAACAGTGTCCATGCCCAGATCAAATTCTATAATAATTGGCTAGTGATTGTTTAAGTCTTTAGGAAGAGTGAAGATCATTGTGCAGGGGGCTAAGTGTTGCTGCTGGTTTGAAAGATGAATGCCTTATACTAATGGGTTTGGATTCGGTGCATGTGTGTGTACATGAGCTTAGTGTGAGTGTGCTTGTCTTGTTATTATTATTTTCTTTCCTTTTATTTATTTTCGTTTTAGTCTGTTTTATCTTTTTTTTTTTTTTTTTTTTTACTTTTCTATTTCTTCATATTTTTTCTTCTTTTTATTTATTTTTTATCATTTTCCCGTTCTTTTTGTTTTATTTTAATTATTTTCTTTTTTCTCATTTTTTTTTAAAACAAACAAGAATATTTAAAAATATTTTTAAAAAATGGTGCAAAATGGGGTGTCTACACAATTAATGAGGTAGTATTCCATGGATTTGAGGGAAAAAGAATGAAACAAGCATGGAAGTATGTATAGTTGCCATTAAAATTTTAGTATATATAAAGGACCCGTATGATGCCATGAAATTAAAATGTGGGACCTTGATCATTCATTAAGTTTCATACCGTATATTAATCTAACA